GGGTGCTTCCCTTTCATAGAGGGGTCTGTTTGCTGGTTTTTCCTTATTTTTCCATAAGGCTTCCTCAGCGAATTCCCTGATTTCGGTTCACCTCCTCCGAGGTTGGTGACCTTGCCTTGTCTGGCATGGCATGGGGTAGTGTAAACAGCGGAAGTTCTTTTGGAGCTTCTGCACTCTGAGAGATCCTGCTCTCAGGGCGTTTTTTCGCACCTTCTCAGGCTTCCAGCCTGAGAAGAAGTTGGTCTTCACTTTCCATCCTCCATTTGGATGGAACCTGGAACAAATCCAGTAGTTTTTTGGATAGCCGATGTGGAGGCTCTTCCCTTTGTTTCCCTTTGTCTGCCTTTGGGGCTTGACTTGGGGACATGGGGGAGGACTCCAGGGGATAGTTGGGCCCTGGAGTTTCCTGCGACTCTATCCAATCAGCTTTTTGGGCTGATCGTTCGGCGCTTACATGTTTATTGCACAAGTCGATCACCTCCTGAGGAGGTGAGGGATCTTCCCCAGCTTGGGTTAGATTGGTATGTCATGGAGTTCTAGGGGTATTGGGCCCTGCACTTACTCCACATAAGTTTCTAGAACCTTCAGGGCCAGCCCTGAGGTGGTTGCTTTTACCAGATCATGTTGATCCTCATCGTCTTCTGATGATGACTGTTGATTTGAATCTCCCATGATGGGAGATTGTGGTTTCTTAATGAACTGCTTGTTTCATTTTAGCATTGCTGCAGACGCGACCTTGCCCTTGCAGGCATGTTTAGGTGCCATTGGCGCTACCGAGTCAGATTGTTAAGATGTTAAGTTTTTGTGGGTTGTGTTGTAAAACACACCTCATACACTTAAAAAAGTGTGAGGTCTCAGTGGGTAGCTCAGCACACAGAGCCGTAAGTGATACAATGGTGTGTATTTTACGGTAGTGTGTAAGCAGTTACCCAGAGTGTCATATCCCGGAATCCCGACCCCGCGCACTCCCACCACACCACACCTTCCTAACAACTTCACCATCCCCTACACCATGCCTCCCCGACCCCGGGTCCCCATGACCCCTCTCTCTATAGCCCACAGCCCTGTGTGTAAACAGCCTATCTTAAGGCATAACCTACTGTGGGTAAGAAAGTGAGAAGAAGGTTAACTTCTCACTTTCCCACAGTGGCCCAATATGGCGAAAACTTCCGGGGATACCCGGAAGTCACATGAAGAGTGGGAACCGGGCCCGGAGCATGTGGCACATGGAGCATGCGGGGCAGAGTGCACAAGCGGGTGCAGGTCCGGGTCCGGGCTAGTCAGGGTGTGTGCCCTGACACTTTCGGTGTTGCCCCATTGTCATTCGGACTTTGACTAAGTCCTTCCCATTCCCCTTTATAAATACCTGTAGATTAGAACCTGTAGTTCCTCAGTTCTAATATTGACTAAAATGCCACCCAAAGTCCCTCTGAGTGAATCCCGTTCCCATTCTACAAGATACCTCAGACATAAGAAATACAAGGACTAACTGAGATGTAACGGAGGCACAGTGCTCCCTCCGAGTCGCTGAGGCCATGTCCTTCTTAGAGCCTCTTGTACCACCCAGCAGAACTGGGCTCCCTGAGAAGCTTCAGTTCACTACCGGAGCTCTTGGACCCCCCTCTAGTTGAGCCCTGCCTGCATTCGGACTCACGCATTTACCCCTATGATCCGGGTTTTTGACACAGAGGTTACCACTTACCCACATGACTATATGTATCTTAATTACATGTGGCTCGGGGTTTGGGGCTATTACCCTGACAAAAACCGACCATCTGGGGCATATGTCTTAGCGGAGTTGGATGGAACAGTGTTGTCCAAGCCCATAGCAGTGCAACGGGTAAAAATGTTTTATTTTCACAAGAACAATGAGCCTATCATACACAAACAGAAGTGTTATAAAAATGGGGCCTAATTGGCCCATTTCTATAGCGTCCGGGTGCAGGAGGGGGCCGTGACATTGAGAAGATGTTACAATTAATGTAACAGATGTTGTAACAGTGGGGTTTACAATAACATAGACATCGGGTGTTTTGGGTGATAATAGTTGGTTAGGTTGTTATTATATACATGTCACGTGATAATATACTGTACAGAGGCCATAAGAGGCTAAAAATGGGAATTTCCCATTTCCATAACAAGAAGCCTGCACAAGAGGGAAATTGGAAAACAATTGAGAAATGGCATAATTTGGAAAGGAAACAGTGGTTAGGAGAGGAGGAGGCTGATGGGACCCCATCAGAAGAGAGCGAGAATGGGGATGACTCAGGAGACGATGACTTGGGAGGATTATCTGATGAAAATTCAGAGAGTCTGGAGAAGGTGATGAATCTACAAACACAACAGGGACGATTTTGTGGAGATAACATTTGAAATACCTTACAAGGAAAGTGTTAGACACTGATCCAGAGTCGGCACCGAAGGTTGCCATTGCGGGCTGCTATAGGCCGCGATGGCCGCGATGCCTCGAACAAGGCCCGAGGGTAGGGCATTTGGCCTCAGCAACTCTAAAGGAGCGCTGTGCCCCCTAGTTGTCTCTTGGCCCTCGTTTCGGAATTACTGGGGTTGCCTTGTTGGGGTCAGGACTTAGGGGTCGTGGTCACATCGATATTAGAGCTAAGGTACAATAAAGTATCATACAGGATATATATAGGAGGAAGAAATGAATGGAAGCGGACCCGGGCCGGAGGCCAAAGGGTCCGGAAGCAAACAAGAATAAGGAGCGGGGTTGGCCGCATAGTGGCCGGCAATGACCGAGGGTCAAAACAAACAATAACAGATAAATAAAGGAAAGAGCGTAGGGCCGCGATAGCGGCGATGGTATCGTAGCGGCACTGGACTCAGAGTTGGGCCGGAGTCGGGTGCGGGGATGATAGCGGCCCTGTAGGGGCCAAGTGGGCAGGGTAGGGGAGTCATGCTGGGCACGGTGCTGGAGGCGGACTCAGGGTGGGGAGGTTGGTGCAGCAGCAGGGGAGTCAGCCAAGTGTGGGGGAGCCTAGGGGCAAGCAGGGGAGTGAGCAGGGAGTCCTCAGGGAGGATAGAGCTGAGGTCGGGGCTCGCGCTCACGCTCGTGTAGCGGGAATGGGCTTGGGCGGCATTGGGACGGGCGGCTAACGGGCCGGAATGCATGGCCGTGACAGAAAGCCAGGCACGGTTAAATAAGGAAATATTATATTGGGACGCAGTGTGGGATAGATGGACCATCAGAAAACAATTGATAAAAGAGGGAAAGGATTTGCCAAAGGTAATTGACTTGTTAAGTGAATGGGCAAGGGAAGCAGTGAGGTACGATCCATGATGGGACTATAGGGACCATGAACGGAAACATCAGCCCAGGTCATATATGAGGTATAAAAGTCCTGAATCACTGAGAGGATGTCACAGCCATGCATTCCAGCCCGTTAGCTGCCTGTCCCGATGCCACCCAAGCCCATTCCCACTATGCGAGCGCAAGCGCAAGCGCCAACCTCAGCCCTATCCCCCATGAGGACTCCCTGCTCACTCCCCCGCTTGCCCCTAGGCTCCCCTGCACCTGGCCGACTCCCCCACAGCCACACCAACCTCCCCACCCTGAGTCCACCTCCGGCACCGTGCCCAGCGTGACTCCCCTACCCCACCCACTTGGCCCCTACAGGGCCGCTATCATCCCCGCGCCCGACTCTGGCCCAACTCCGAGTCCAGCGCCGCTACAATACCATCGCCGCTATCGTGGCCCTATGCTCTTTCCTTTATTTATCTGTTATTGTTTGTTTTGACCCTCGGTCATTGCCGGCCGCTATGCGGCCAACCCCACTCCTTCTTCTTGTTTGCTTCCGGACCCTTCAGCCTCCGGCCCGGGTCCGCTTCCTATATATATCCTGTATGATACTTTATTGTACCTTGGCTCTAATATTGATGTGACCACGACCCCTAAGTCCTGACCCCAACAAGGCAACCCCAGTAAGTCCGAAATGAGGGCCAAGAGACAACTACGGCACAGCGCTCCTTTAGAGTTGCTGAGGCCAAATGCCCTACCCTCAGGCCTTGTTCGAGGCATTGCAGCCATCGTGGCCTATAGCGGCCCGCAATGGCGACCTTCGGTGCCGACTCTGGATCAGTGTCTAACATGCGGTACCAGTCACTCAACGGAGCAAGAGGTAGAGTACCAGTATGTCCTAGACAGTAGGCAAGGTCCATTTGACAAAGGCGATGTAAGAACATCTTCGGAATTGATGAGGGAAGGTATGTGTCAACCAGCGGTGTGAGGTCCGAAGGCTAACGGAAGAGTAAGTGGAGGTGGATGAGTTGGGTTGTGGGTTCCGGAGGTCCGGACAAGGTAAGCTCAAGACTATCGCTCAATGGAGCGCATAGGAGAGACAAGTTATGCCATGAGACATCAGAACCACAAGCCAAGTCGGCCAGGGTGGTGTAGAAATGTCATCGGAAGAGAGGAGGACGTAGTATCAACCAACTGGATGAGGTCCAAAGGAAGATGGGGGCCAGATGGGATGGAAGCGGAGCATGGCTCGCTATCCCAGAGTAGAGTGCTTAGCATTACTAATGGAATGCCAGGCAGTGGGGAGTGCAACAGGGAATCGGGTGGAAGCGTCTACCATAGGACAAGGAGTCCAAGTGGAGACTGGGGGGTGATCACGGAAAGGCAGACTGGGTTGTTCCAAAGCACAGACTAGGTAACTGCTCTTAAACCCCTCGATCAATGGATCGAAATTGGGCGAGTCAGTAGGTGTCCCAGAACTTAAGGGACAAGGACCATCTATGAATGATGAAGGTTCGTCCATGTTGATTCAGACCGAAGCGAAGTGGATGGGGTAAGTCGAAGGCCTGGGTACTGAGGTGACAGTAGTGCCTAGACGACAGTTGGGTGATGACCAGCAAGGAGCCGGTGCATCGGAAGGTGATGGGTGTCAAGGACCGAAGGGTCCGAGACAGAAGAGAGGAGGTCCGGAGGGACCGAGAATTCTAGAAATAGACAGAAGACATATTAAAGGAGGAACAGAAAGTTAGAACCAAAACGGAAATAACAAAGCAGAAGATACTGATCTAAATATGAGAGTCGGAGAGTCGGAGTTATGGGTACAGAGACTGGGAGGTGGTGGGAACGGCGGGCGGGAGGGCAGCAGACTGGGAGGTGGGTGCTGCAGGCTGGGGGCTGCAGCAGGCTGGGGGGCTGCAGCGGGCTGGGGGGCTGTGGACTGGGAGGTGGGTGTGGCAGGCTGGGGGGCTGCGGACTGGGAGGTGGGCATGGCGGGCGCGGACTGGGAGGTGGGTGCGGCAGGTGGGGGTGCAGCAGATTGGGAGGTGGGCGCAGCGGGAAGGAGGGCAGCAGACTGTGAAGTGGGCATGGCGGGCTGGGAGGAAGTGGCAGTGGAATTTGTCTGCGCTGCCTCGCTGACTTGCCCACCCGTGCCCTCCTCCTCTGTCCCATCAATCTCGGGGGAAGGAGCAGTGACATAATTGGTGGGCTCCGGAATAAATGGCAAAACTGCTTTCCATGCGTTGCGAAGCACGTCAAGGTCTGGATCGCCCACGCGACCTGTTTCTGAAACAGAAATTATGATGCTGAGAAGGGCATCCTCGAGTAACTTGTGAGGGCCCTGAGGCTCACTGAATCCCCCCTGCAAGGTAGCGTATGACAGCAAGTTGTTGATGGTGGGGAGGGTAGATGGGTTCGTGAGATTGGTGTCAAGGAGTAAGACGAGCGGAGAGACCAATATGGCCATTATGAGGGGGCTGACATAGGAATAACTGAAACATCGTCAGTATGACCCACCTGGGATAAGAAGGAGGCATACCGTTCGGTGGTGAGGCAGAATTTCGCTTTCTGTATTGTCGATCTTAGTGAAGAAAAAAGATGATGAATTTAGTGATACTCACAAAAAACTCCAGTGGTCCTACCTCACACATCTCTCTCAGAGCGGCCGCACAATAATAAATGTGACTGATTAGGCGTAGCTGCTGGGAGTTCGTTTCTAGATGTACCGCATGGTCGATGAGGTGTTGTAAAGTGGGGACTTGGGCATCAGGAAGAATGGGGCAGGAGGTAGAACCAAGTTGAAGGAGATTGGGGGGCTCCCTGCGTAATGCAGTAAGGCGATCTATAACATTGCCTAACCAGTACTGGACGGTCCACCTGTTGCTCTTATCAAATGTAAGGGTGCCACCGGATAGGCTTGAATCGAAAGTGTACTGATGACAACCTGACCAGTGAGTGCGAACCAGCAGCATAGAAGAAATGATCAATGGAAAGATTTCTCTGCCTACTCGTGCTTTGAAAGTGGGCAGATGTGACGTCGGACTCAGCACAAGGTCTGGCACAAGATCCTTTCTCCAGGGGCCAAACTTCTGCACTGTCTCAACAAGGACTCGGTAAAAATAAGACTCATCCTGGGGCCCAAAGTCGTCCAAAGCATCTTGAACCAGATCCGAAAAACTTTCGAATTCCTTGGGCATAGACATTGGTGAATTCAGCGATGGTGAATTCGGCCAACGCCGCTATCCTCCATATATATATAGCACTTGGCACATGACTACATGTGATCGGTATATCATTAATGGAAATTGGGTTGACACTTGCCTGGACAACATAATCATCTACTCAAACAGAATTTGTTGAAGTTCCTTGTTTTTCTTTGTACGCTGCGGACTGCCCATTGAGTCCTATGAATTGAATTTCTTGCACATGGACATTTCCCTAAAGGATTGCCCAATGCTTCCACGTTGATGGATGCAGAGGATGGCTTAAAAGCCACCTCGTGCAATTTTCTTTCCTCTTGTCATATCCATCCCTGGCCATCGACTTCCGGTCTCTCCGATCCCTCCGTTCTAACTCCGCTCCCCCCTCACCAACCTCGGAGCCCCCGTATTCCGCAAACCTCTCGGTACCCCTCGATGGTCACCACCCCCTCATTTCAATTTATTACCTACGCCTCCCTAAGTACGGAGCCCCGAAGACTTCCGGACAGCTCCAACGTCCGCTAGCGCACTCCCGCCTCCGCTGGGCAATACACTCACCTGCCCTGCAGAGCCCACCTTCGGGCCTATCCCTCCTTTCCATTTCTGGGTTAACGCCTGCCTTTCCACTAACCCCACGAACCGACTCGTCGGTAATATTCAGTCGGCTAATGTCTTAACCCCGTTAGCTCCGCTCCGTTCGGCTCCGCCAATTGCGGAACCGTCTCCGCTGTAACCATATATATACACCACTTGTACATAGGTTACGCCCCAGCAGATAAATCAACTAGAGTTACCCCCCTAGGTTCTAAGTGCCAGTCAGTAAGTTAGGGCACGGACGTGTCACTAGGCACAGCGCTCTTGGCAGAAGTCGCTGAGGCCAAAGCCCTCCGTTACGGAGACATTCCTTCGTCTCAAGTCTGGTCTCTGACACCTCTCCTCAGGTCATGTACTTGGAACCGAGGTGAGATCTCCTTCATCCTTTAACCTTCTAATGTTGTATGTACTCTTAAACAGTCTGATCGGTCCTAGCCAAAGTAGTAAACTTGGGCCGGCAGCAATTGCCATTCGAAGGAGCGGCTCAGGGTGAGTGGTAAAAAATGATGGTATTATAGGATGGTGAAGGGGAGGGAGGTGGTGAGATAAGATGAAGACTAGGCCGTGATTGATGTAGGTGGCCTGCACGCTGCACATCGAAGACCAAATGGCCAGTGAGAGTGCTTTGAATCAGCAACGGGTTCTGACGGAGGTAAATGAGGAAGGCCTCAGATGACCAGCGCCCAATTGCAGGGATACGATCAAGAGGCACTCCAGCGAGAGCGAGGGCAGTTGCTCCTCCTGAGCGGAAAGAGTGAAAAACCCTGGTCCGAAACCTGAGCAGACAGAAGCAATGAGAGCAGGATTAGGGTGAGAGGAGAGTAGAGACTCGAAATGGTCAACGTTGATGGGGGTGACAATCTCGAACAAACTAGGGTTAGACAGAATGGTTTGCGTGATGTCATGGAACTGGTAATCGCTAGGGGGAATAGGTAAAGCGCTCTCGGTATAAGTCGTGGAAGGTCATCATGTGAATCTCATCTAACAGGGGCGCTTACTTTGCTTATCTGCTTTACCCCGGTCAGGGCTAAGCTTTCTCTTTGGGTTTCAAACACTCTGGACCCACAAGAGATGCATTTATGTAAGTACCTCCATTTTCCTTTGAACCACTCGCTGGGTCTAGAGCTTTCCCCGCATTATCTGCAAAGACACCCCTTGGACAACCGATATCCAGGTCTATAGAGGTAGGTTCTCAGAACATTTGAAGAGGGCCCAGAGGCCTCTTTTGTATGGCAACATCCTAGGACATCCCTTTCAAGCAACAACGTCCGGGACACCCTTACATAATTCAAACTGAAGTCACATGTCTGTTGCTGTGCATCTAGAAATCATGGATTGTGAGTTGGAGTAATAATGAGGAGATTTATCGAAAAAGGCCCAATGGAAAATGGTTGAAAACTGGTTCTTGGTTCACCCAACACCATGGGAGTGTAGGCAGGTTACCAGCCTCTATTGGAATAGAACTGGAGTGGTATGCATGGGACATGATATGCAAAGTCTAAGCTCAGTGCCTCTTAGATGTCGGAAAAATATGAATAAATATGTTCAGGTTCCTTTAGGACATATATTGCAGTGCACAAACTTTCAGGACATTTGGACTGCTATTCGGCAAGATAGGGGAAAATGCACAATTTATTCCCCGCTCCTCCCATACTAATAGCAGCTGGTAACCTGCCTAGCTCCTCCCATGCTATCTGGCTCATTTCTCCACCGTTTGGGATGAGGTCAACTGCGTTGGAAAGCTAAGGTTTGTTTTAGTTGAATCGTGTAACGGTAGCACGGTTATGGGGAGCGGTTGAGGCTTCCAACACAAGTTTGGGTTTCCAGGCCACTTTTGTAAGTTCTTTTACAAGTTGTGGAAACGTGCTTCACTTCAGCAAGTTTATCGCGATTGTCCCTCCTGGCAGATCTCATGATGAGGTGCACGAGGTCGTATTTAGTTTTGCGACATGCTACCCTGTTCAGGCAGGAATTGATGATATAGGACAAGGAGGGAAGTGATAATGGAGGAATGAGATGTTTTGTTTTTGTTTTATACTTAGAGGCGAGAAATGTAGACCATTAAACAAACAGAAAGGAACCGAAGAGAGGAACAAGAGAAAGGAAGAGCAGACTATTTGTGTGTCTCCAAAGAGACTTCCGGTTTGATTTCCGGAGTTGCAGACCTTGGTTGCTCAAGCCGAAGGTGCGGGAGAACAAGGACTTGAAGTAAATCAACAGCCGAAGGGGCCGGACTTAACCGCAGGTTCAATCGGAGGTGTTACCGAAGGGAGAGCGTCGATAACCGGGGATAGGGGTGTATCAGAGGTAGGCGGAGTTGAAGTCGGAGGTGCAAGACATCGCAGGAGATGGTAGCAAGGGAGTTGGGTATGTTGCATCCATCATGGGGTGTGGTCCGGAGGGTAACTCCAGGAACCGAGGGTAAGGAGAGTGGGGTAGGTCGATGTGTGATGACCTAAGGGGGGTCTGAGAAATCTCAGATGCCTCAGGGTGAAGTGGTATGGAAGCGAAAGGTGAGGTCGAAGGTTCCGGGTAGGTGCAATCATGAGTGGGCAGATGTAGATGTGGGTCAGATCGCCGATGGAAGTGATGGACTGCAGGGGAACCTAGGATGGGTGGATGGAGGGTGCTTCCAGGGACCTAAAGGGGGAAGGAGGACGCTGCAAGCGCCACCTAGAAAGAAAGGAGTAGTGGTGCCTAGTCAACCCACTTCCAGGACTTCGGAAGGAGCGCCCAAAGTGGCTGGGAGGTGCTGGTGGCTTACCCGAAGCCAGAGCAGAGGGTGCGGTCGACTGCGGAAGGTGGAATTGCAGTCGGATGCCAGGTGCTAGAAGTCGGAGCTGGACAACAGCAACGTGGAGTCCGAAATACTGTTAGAACGGGCAGATTCGGACGACTCCGGAGTGGAATCGGAGACTTAGCATGGAAGGACCTCGGCCTCAGTGACTCAAGCAGAGCGCTGTGCCATTGCTGGTTGTCCTGGGGGTCCCTAATTTCGGATCTAGCAGAGGGAAAGTCTCTTGGGGGGAATTCAGGTCGATTTCGGACTGAGGTTACAAGTTACTAGGTACATTGTATATAAGGAGGGGTCCGGAATCAAAAGGATCAAGGGTAGGATGAAAGGAGACAAAGGGAGATGGAAAGAGGAACAACACCGAGGGTCAAGGGTTGGACTCAATGGTGTTTCCCAAAGGAGGAGTGAAGGGCCAAGGCCCAAGGAGGAAGGAAGGAGGTTGGGAGTGGGGAATGGCTAGCTGACTGAATAGAAAGGAAGCAGCAGCCCAAATAGGAATGAGGGAGTATAGCGGGATTGAATAGGACAATGCAATAGTTGCAAGGTCCAAGGTAAGTCCGGAAAGTCCAAACTTGGAAGTTAAACTCCGGAATATTGGCAAACATAATTAAATGGAATGAGCTAACCAATACAATGGTATAAGCGGAGGTGGGTCAAAGTCCGAGTCGGAGCTAAGACTGGAGTTCCGGAGATGGAGACGCAAACGGGATTCCGGAGTGGAGGTCCGGAGTTGGGAGCATAGGTGTTGCATGCTCATCTGGAGGGTGTCGAGGTTGGGGTCAGACCCGGAATGTTCCGGAGTCGGACCGAAGGTGGTGTCCGAGCTGGAGGTGGGATAACCTCTTGGGAGTCAGCAAGGAGAAAGTGACGGAAGGGAAGTAGGGCTCCGGAAGTCGGAGTTTGGAGTTCCAGGAGCCCGGAGCGGAGGTTGGGATTGTATGGATATGACACTTTCCACTTCTGGGTTATAACCCACTAATCCATTAAACCCCATAACCCAAGTTGTCAGTAATACTCAGTCGGCTAACCCATAACTCCATTAGGTCTGCTCCACCTGGCCCCTGCCACAGGCCTGCCATCTAGATTCCCTCTGGAACTATATATACCTAACCTGTTATGAGGATGGGGAGAACTTCTCCCTTCTCAACCTGTTCTTATAGTTGGATGGTGATCGTTAGATCTTGTTTGTACCATAATGGGATGTGTAATCAATGGGTGTTCCCAGTCGTGCATGAGAGCAGACGATCAAATTCCCATCAATTGTAGTGCATGATGGAGTGAGCTATTAAGGCTTTGATTGTGTGTAGTTGGAGACACCAGGATACATGGGCCAGCCATGGGTACTTGGTGCACAGTCATGACTCGTAAGATGTGTGAAGATCCATATCGTTGCTATCGGTTACTTGGCATTCGCAGTGCAAATGTACTGGTAGCAGGTTGTTAATGTCATATCCATACAATCCCGACCTCCGCTCCGGGCTCCTGGAACTCCGAAACCGACTCTGGAGCCCTACTTCCCTTCTGTCACCTTCTCCTTGCCGACTCCCAAGAGGTTATCCCACCTCCGGCTCTGACACCACCTTTTGTCCGACTCTGGAACATTCCAGGTCTGACC